AATGGGCCGCTTCCAATATCTGCCTGTGAGTCAGGCTGTCTGGCCCTACCTGGCATTGAGGAGACCCCAGACACCCAGCAAAGTTTCCTCTTGTTTGCACCTACTGCACCCAGAGCTTCCCCTCGACTTGTATGCCGGCGTGGGGTTAGGGTGTGGGAGCAGTGGGCAACCTAGCCCTGCCTGGAAACCAAATCAAAGTGATCAAGTCAGTTTCAGGCCCCCAAATAGGAGGCAGACCCTCTTTTCCCCGGCACCAGCCTGGTTCAGCACTCAGAATTCCTTGTCTCGCCCGACCAGGTTCGGGGCTCCACCCCCGGGTACGCAAAGCATAGTCACATTCAGTGACTAATTAAGGACTGGTGTTCCTTTCCATCACTCTGTCAGAAACTTGGAGCCCAGAGCCCTGACTCCTCCAAAAGTGCCTACCACTTAGGGGTGGCCCTACCCTCCCACATCCTGCGCAGCAGCAGCGCCTCAGCACCCCGACTTCCCGGAGCGCGTCAGCCGGCGCGGCACCGAGTGGTGCGCCGCTCCCGCCTCCCCCGCGCTCTGTGACTCCCGCCCATCTCACCGCTGGTACTCTCTCCACGCCGCCGCCCGACACTGCAGCACCTCGGGAGGAGGCGCAGGCGGAGGAGGGGTTGGAGGACCGCAGCTTGCAAGCCGGGAGCCACTTTCCCGCTCCTCCTCTCGCCGCTGACACGCTTGGAGGAGTCACCACTCCGCGCGCTGCAGGCGAGTGGCAGACGGAGGCGGCCCGGGGAAGCGAGCCGGAGCGACGCCCGCGCGACAGCGGCTGCAGCGCTTACAGCACCCAAGGCACGGGTCCCCGGCGGCTGGGGCGGTGAGTGAGGGACCCCGGCAGCGGTGGCGGGATTTCCCGCCGCTGCTTAATTTTCCTGCGGGACCCGGAGACCAGGCACTGCAGCCTGGGGAACTTTTTGCAGCCCTGTAGAAGCGCAACTTTGCCCCCTGCCTGCCCCCACGGAGAAGCGGTTGCCGTTGCCAAGTTCGGCACAGCCCGGCGCCTTTGCTGGGGCGGGACCGGGGAAGTCGGGGTATAGCAAATGGGGTGACCCCCTGTTGCCCCGCTAAGTCAGGGGGTGCTGGCTCACTTTATCCAGGACTCCCGGGGGGAGGCGGGTGGGCGGCAGCTGGGATGCGGGGCTGCACCCGGCTTCTACAGGAACCTCCACGATCCTTTGCTTGCGCTGTTCGACGGGCAGGGGGAGGCAGATTGATTACAAACAGCTCTGAGCCCCCGGCCGGGTGTCTGAGCAATCCCTCCATCCCGGTCTTGGGCTCAACTTTTCGGCGGGGATCCCTCTGCAGACGTGCGGGTGGTGGCAACCGCAGTGGGCGCCGCGGGAGCTTAAAAGAAACACGCGGAATTTAAAAACTATTCCACCTCAGTCCCCGAAGCCCCTGCTTAGTGTCTACGCGAGAACAAGGGAAGGACTGAGGGAGGGAACCCCCCGAGGCTGTGGCTGTAAGTGCCCGCACTCCACTACGCCTGCATTCGGCAAAACCCTACCGAGTGCCTACTATGCGCCAGGGGCGGCTAAAGAGACGGATTGGTATGAATGAGGCTCAGTAGTGGAGAAGGACCGTCACCTGCAAACTACTGAGATAATTTCAGGTGGTGGTGAGGGCTGTGGAGGCAATCACCTAATCCATTTGACCCTTTCTCTCGGCGGGCTCTTTCCCCTCCGCCTGGGTTCTAAAAATGGGAAGACTTTTCTCCAACGTGTCGCGGGGAGCACCCTGGGCTGGGCCCACGAAGACTGCGGAACATGGTGATGAACTTGGCCTAGGGCGGTGGGCACCCCGCCGCAGATGCACAACCCACAGCATTTGTGTGGGCGAGCAGGGACCTCAGGCGCCCGGCGCGCGAGGGCGGAGGGGGAGGGGCTGAGTCACAGGGGTTGGAGGGTGCCGCCTGGATGACCCGAGTGGGGGGCGCTCGCGTCACCGCTACGTGTGCCAGTGATGCAAATGCAGACCCACGAGGGGCGGGAGGGGGTTGGAGATGGAGGGCAGGCGGCGGAGTCTCCGTCTGGGAGAGCGCGTGTGTGCGTCAGAGGCTCTCAGGTGATGGATGTCCCGCAGCGCAGCGCGGCGACCC